TTTCGAAATCGCGCTTATTTAAATTTTGTGATATATTTAATAGCTTGATAATTTAAAAAAATATCAGTCAATTTTAGTGCAATGAGATAGTAAAGAAGTAAGTATGCATTTATTGGTCGGTTTTAGCATTTACTACGATGTGATGGCTCTTCTTCACTAATAGTTTTTGACGTCCAAGCATACATAGGCTAATTACCTATGCGCTTATATTAAACTTTGGTATCTCTTAAATATTTCCATTACCTTTTTTTGCTCAAAATCAGGCTATATCTCCTTGTCAGACTCTCTATTTGCCTGTAAGTGAACTACCACATTCGGCAAATTTGGTCTGCCTCATTGGCTCCGCTAATTCCTCCAGTGTTACTGGCACCAACAATTATCTCTCTACCCCAGGTTCTTCTGCAAATAACATCAGTTCTGCCTTCACCGGACATATTCATTCTTCACCTAGATCTAATACATCCAGTGAGTTAGCCATTACTTCTAGTGGCCTTCCACAGTCATGCCTGGCGATTAGTCCCAGCGGAGGAAATCTACGCTTTTGGCCACGTTTTATGCTACGACCAACGGCTTTTATTGATGTAAACCTGTCAGAACCTGTTGCAGGTTTATATGGAGATGAAGCTAAACAGCTAGAACCCGGACCTCTGGTGAGATTTCAGGCTCTGCGATTGGTTTATCCTTTGTATGTTGAACTGTTTTATATGTGGATATATCTATATATATTAGACAGTAGTAACCTAGATCAGCTACACTTATTATTTCTTTTACACACTATGCCTTGATCTAATCTAGTTATTAAAAATCTGTTGGTATAACGATCACTCTTAAGCATTTCTCTCTTGGAATGCTATTTTATAAACGTGTCTTCAGGTTAAGGTTTGTCCATCGTGAAATATTGTTAATTCTTATTCTATTATATTACCTCATTATTTTTCCGATTTTTTGTTTAGTTAAGCTTACTCTATTTCTATTTTGTCCTCCATTTTTTTATTCAGCCCGGCACTTTCATCTTGGCTAC